GACCGAACACACGATGCCGAACCTCTGCATTACTGACATGGTGTTGCCACTGGATGCCAGCAATCCTTCGGAGACAACGATGATCGAACACAGAGAGTCGTCTAACATCCTCAACTCGGAGAGGCCAGGTTTCACAAGCATAGAGCAAAACTGCTCTCACCGTCGCGTTGTAGATCCGACCTTTTACAGCCAGACTAACATCACGAAGGCGCCAAAGATGGCCTAGATTGGCATAAGCCGCTCTGGCTTTCACAACACCCCCGCCACGTGAAGGCAGTGAGTAGGATTTATCTGGTAGAGGCTGTATACGCGTGGCCGTGTGAGAGCGTTTCGAGAGGGAGGGCGGGACCACCCTACTCTCGGCCATACCAGGATATTTGGGGGCTCGCAGTAGAGATCATCCATATGGCTACAGAATAGTCGGCCTTTGGAGCCATGATAAAGTCCCAAAAACTTTCAGTCTCGAGCACATAGCTTCAATATTGTTTGTGGGCACTCCGGTTGTTTAGTACACAAAATGCCACTTGTGGATAACGACACGATGCACATAACCACGCCTATGTAGGAGTTTGTACGCTCTACAATCATCCGTATGTATTGTAGTACCTGGCTGCAGCCAGTTACTGGTGCTTTCATTACTCAGTTCACAATAATTGTCATAATTTGCCTTAGTTAGGGATTATATATAGGGTTTTCATCACGAACTGACATCAGCTATTGTTATAATTCTCTCGTATTACAAACCAGCTATTCCTATTGCTCAGTATTCTCGGGCACAGATTCACTCGACAATTTCTCAAACCAGAACACGGTTGAACAGGAAAGAGATTATATTCCACATAACAAGGTTAGATGGAAGTAGGAAGAACAATAGGAAAAACGTTAGTATATTTATAGTTTCTACATGAGAAGATTTCTAGAGTATTCTCCAAGTGTCGACTAGCGCTGATTGGACAAGAATTAGCCAATCAGCGTGCGCTAACGCAAGCGTGCATTGAGCGTGATTTAATCCAATCGATGTCCCGCTAATAGCTATAATGCCCGAAATTTATTTAGCCAAATAGATGAAAGGCTTTCGCGCCAAAATACGAGATCTGTTATCTTATACCTGATTGATTCGTCCACAAATTAGTTTCGCCGTTTTATTTGTTATAGCCTCTCAAGTACCACGTTTTGTACAAAATTCCCTGTGAACTGATCGTACGTTAGCATTAAGCACTGGAGTTGGCGCCGTGATCTTGAAATCTCTCAAACGCTTCTGATTGGCTCGTCCATAAATTAGAGTCTCGCCAATTTCGTTTCTTTGATTTTACCTTGGTTTCGAAGCATCCCCTCTCAAATTAGTACACAGTCCCGTCAGGTCACACGTCTTGTTTCTAGTAGGACGAGGTAATTTTGATTAAAAGGTGCTCTAGTATCCACATCACAGTTAAATATCCTTCATATGACAGCTGAAGTACTTCCCATTTCCACACTAAAGCTGAATTTTTCACCATAGGCGAGCTGCTGTCTGAGTCGAAGCGGATACAAAAAGTAGAAATAGGAGATAGTGAACAAATGACGTCTTGGACGATGGGCAGAATTCTTTGAAGGGCAGTTCAACTGGCCTGCTGCTCCGGCAACATCGGTCAGACTGTCCTGCCCTCCATGGCCGGTGACGACTGATCCACCAAATGAGGCGGAAGTCCGCAAGGAACTCCAACTCTTGAAACGTTACAAATCACCGGGCCCAGACGACTTACCTCCGGCTCTTTTTAAAGATGGTGGTGACTTTTTGACTAAGGGACTGACGACGTTGTTTACAAAGATCTGGGAACTAAAGAGTGTACCAACGTCATGGAATGAGTCGATAGTTGTCCCTATCTTTAAAAAGGGTTCACGTTGTTCCTGTAACAACTATCGGGGGATAAGTCTACTTCCGATTGCGTCCAAGCTATTGGCTTCCATCATACTTCGTAGGTTGTTCAGAACCCGAGAAGGATTGACTCGCGAGGCGCAGGCTGGGTTTCGTTCTGGTCGAGGATGTATTGATCATATCTTCACCCTCCGCCAGGTGTTAGAACACCGCCATACTTATCAAAGGCCAACAATCGTAGTGTTTCTTGATATCAGGGCCGCCTTCGATTCGTTGGACAGAACTGTTCTCTGGGATTGTCTATTGAAGAAGGGTGTGCCTGAGAAGTTTATTAACATCCTAAAAGCCCTATACACAAACACCTCAGGCAGAGTGAGGGCATACAACCACCTTTCTCCACTATTCCATTCGAGCAGTGGGGTTAGGCAGGGTTGCCCAATCTCACCATTCCTCTTCAACTTTGCCATCGATGACATTCTGGAAACAGCTCTGACGGATGTAAGTAATGGTGGTGTGGATCTGTTGCCTGGAGAAAGACTTCTCGACCTTGAGTATGCGGATGATATTGTCTTACTGTGCGAGAATGCCCAAGCCATGCAATCCGCACTTAATCAGTTGGCAATCAGTGTCCGTAGGTATGGTATGTGCTTTGCACCTTCGAAGTGCAAAGTTCTTCTACAAGACTGGCAGGATTCTAATCCTGTACTCACTCTGGATGGTGAGCAGATTGAAGTAGTCGAGAAGTTCGTGTATCTAGGTAGCTGCATAAGTGCTGGTGGTGGTGTGAGTGATGAGATCAATGCACGTATAGTGAAAGCCAGAGCGGCTTATGCCAATCTGGGCCATCTTTGGCGCCTTCGTGATGTTAGTCTGACTGTAAAAGGTCGGATCTACAACGCGACGGTGAGAGCAGTTTTGCTCTATGCTTGTGAAACCTGGCCTCTCCGAGTTGAGGATGTTAGACGACTCTCTGTGTTCGATCATCGTTGTCTCCGAAGGATTGCTGGCATCCAGTGGCAACACCATGTCAGTAATGCAGAGGTTCGGCATCGTGTGTTCGGTCACAGAGACGACAATCCATTTGGTGCCACCATCTTGAAACACCGACTTCGGTGGCTTGGACATGTTCTACGAATGTCGTCCCAGAGAATTCCACGTCGTGCATTATTTGCCGACTCTGGGACTGGTTGGAAAAAGCGGAGAGGTGGTCAGTATATGACATGGTGTCATGGTATAAAAGAAAGCTGCAAAGGGCTAGCTTCTGTTGGTCCTTCACGACTCCCTGGTTGGGGTCCGAGAGACGGTGTAACGCAGTGGCTAGAGACGTTATCGGATATGGCTAAGAATAGAAGCCAGTGGCGATCGTGCTGTAACCTCTTACTTTCTTCATAAAAAGTGGTTGTATCTTCCTTAACTGAAAGATCTCTTCTGATTGTACCTTTCCGTTTCCCCCACCATTGTTCTCTCTCTCTCTTCCTTTTTTTTATAATTCCCCACGTCCATTACTTTTTTTTTCTTTTTTCTCTTTTCTCCTTCTCTTCAAATTATCATTGTTTTGTGTGGCGCATATATATTTGGTGCCCCCTGTACCAATATTTATGTGTTCAAATAAATAAATAATAATAATATTTCCACACTCGACCTTGAGACTATAAAAATGGACCATAGCAAATTTAGCAGGCCAGGCTTCTAAATGTTAACGCAGAACTTATCAGCCTTATTCTGTTAGGTAACTGAAAAAACTTATCCATGTTACATTCCTCACTGTCTTCTCTCAGTGAGGATGTTGTTTACGAAATTGAGAGGACGGAAGCGGGTCGGTGGATATGGAGGATCCACCTAAGGGACTTGGAAAACCCTGATTCCAAACCAATGGTGCACATGGAATCCTGAAAGGAAAAATGGCGTATGAACCAATCGTTTGTCACAGGGTACCATGATACTGCATCTGACGTTGCTCTACTGTCTTGTGGATCAGACCTCTAGGTCAAAGGCCCTGGACGTGGCCCCCCAAGAAAACCATCTGCTCCGGTCGGGGCATCTGCGCAGTATCGCAGCCCACACACAAATCAAGTGACTTGTGTGACGCATATGTATTCGGTGCCCCTTTGTACCAATATTTATGTTCAAGTAAATAAATACAAGATTGGAAGGAGCCTATCAGTGCACTTTTAATAGTGAGCCGTTCAAATTAGCTGAAAGTTTTTGTATCTGGTTAGTTGTGTGAGTATTAATGACGGTGTGAGTGATGAAAATAATCTACTTATACTGAAGGCCCGAGCGGCTTATACCGATCTGGGACATCTTGGGTACCATTAAAATGTATCTGGTTGTTAAACGTCGGGTCTACAATGCATCGATAAGAGCAGTTTTGTTCTAAACTTGTGAATGCTGACCCCTTCTAGGTGATAATATCGGGCAACTCTCTGTTTAATCATCATTGTCTCCGGAGGATTGCCGACATCCGATAGAAAGGTTAGTAATGCGGATATTTGGCAATGTTTGTTCGTGGTCAGTGGTAATATTTCAGCTAGTGTTGCCATCTTGAAACACCAGTTTCAGTGTCATAAATGTCATCTCAGAGAATTCTGCCGACACTAGGATGAAACGGGAAAAAGTGAGGCGGTCAGTTTATGATATTGCCGTGGCATGGTAGAAAACTATTTAAGGTAAACATCTGTCGGTCCATCATGACTCTATGTTTGGGGTCCGAGAGATGGAGCAACTCAGTTGTTTGAGACTATCAGAGATGGCTCTCAATAGAAGTCAATGATTATCTTACTGAAGGATCCTTCTGTTTGTACTTTTAACTGAACTGTTTCCTATTATATACTGAACCCACTCACTCGTTTTTGTCCAATTATCTGTTTTTGATTTTATTCCTTTTTCTATTCCTCTTCACAATTTTATCTTATTTGTGTGGTGCATATTTGGTAATGTGTATGAAATCATTTAATGAAATTGGTTACCGTCCAGTTTTTGTAGCTTATTTACCTAGAAGTTTAACATTCTTACTATTTCATTCAATAGTCATAAAATCTAGCTGAATGTGATTGTTTTTAGACAACATCGTTAGTTGCATGTACTTTCTTCTTTCTCCGATCAGTTTCTTTGTTATTTACGTTATTTTTCTCTGTAGGTGATTATGGATGAAGATTCGACTTTCATTCGTATGTTGGCTATTGTACCAGCTCATAGATCGCCCCAGGTATGATTCTTGCCCTACTTATTCATTTCACTGAGGACACTGTTCGTCTAATGTTGATATCAATTAGTATGATAACAGAAAATAGATAAAGAAATCGCAGTGCTATTTCCTTTTCATTAACTCGTAATGTCCAATTATGCCACAGACTTGCAAATAATGTGGGTATTTTAAAAAAATACTGGTCGACTTTATGCGCTTGCTGTTCAGTTTATTGGTAGGATTGTGTTTCATCGAGTTACCTTTATGCTATGATTACTCTTGGTTATTGTAGGATTTAATTTTCCCTATAGATATTCTACTAGAACTGTAAACACAATACTGGTGACCCGATAGTCTATGTGAAAACTATAGTCAGAACAAGGACAACTCGACTTGATCTGTTTCTAAACGTAACAATAGCAATTTGATTAGGATAATAATTAAAGGAATCATAGTCATTAAATGGAACGCATGTCTTATCGAAATGAATAAAAATCATGAGTCACACTAATATAACAGGATAATAGTGTCCTTCAGTTGGCAGGTCACATGCAACAGGGATAGTTTTCAGACACACCAGACCACATTGATGTGATGGTAGCTTGATTGGTTAGTCCAGGCTTCGCTACTGTCGCGTTCAAATAATCGGCCTCTTCCAATAGGCACATGCTCTCTATATCCCGGCTGATATCTTCGGTTGCTGTCTTCAGTCAAACTCTTCTGACTCATTCATCTGGACCATAATTGACCTGTCTAAGTATAGCCTTCGACCACATATTTATCTAACTGCTTCGGTTTGGGCACCCGGGCAGTATCACAGCCCTCACACAAATCAATTGAGATTCGTGTGGCGCATAAGTATTTGGTGCCTCCTTGTACCAATACCTATGTGTTAAAATAAATAAATAACACATATTTATCGGTGAGCCAGTATTGTTTACTAACTAAATCGTTCAGCTGTACATTTCTCATGTTCAACCACTTGGATTTCGCCTGAAGGGTTGGTGAGTACTCTCGTAACCATCTGTTCCAGAATAGGTTGGCTAGTTGTTGAGCTTCCTTCCATATTCTGTTATATTTATTTATTTTATTTGAACACATAAATATTGGTACAGGGGGGCACCAAATATATATGCGCCACACAAAACAATGATAATTTGAAGAGAAGGAGAAAAGGGAAAAAAGAAAAAAAAAGTAATGGACGTGGGGAATTATAAAAAAAAAGGAAGAGAGAGAGAGAACAATGGTGGGGGAAACGGAAAGGTACAATCAGAAGAGATCTTTCAGTTAAGGAAGATACAACCACTTTTTATGAAGAAAGTAAGAGGTTACAGCACGATCGCCACTGGCTTCTATTCTTAGCCATATCCGATAACGTCTCTAGCCACTGCGTTACACCGTCTCTCGGACCCCAACCAGGGAGTCGTGAAGGACCAACAGAAGCTAGCCCTTTGCAGCTTTCTTTTATACCATGACACCATGTCATATACTGACCACCTCTCCGCTTTTTCCAACCAGTCCCAGAGTCGGCAAATAATGCACGACGTGGAATTCTCTGGGACGACATTCGTAGAACATGTCCAAGCCACCGAAGTCGGTGTTTCAAGATGGTGACACTAAAACTATGATGAACAATTCGCTTATGGAAAATATTGCTTTCTATCTGATTAACATTGAAATCAAGAAACACTACGATTGTTGGCCTTTGATAAGTATGGCGGTGTTCTAACACCTGGCGGAGGGTTGATATGATCAATACATCCTCGACCAGAACGAAACCCAGCCTGCGCCTCGCGAGTCAATCCTTCTCGGGTTCTGAACAACCTACGAAGTATGATGGAAGCCAATAGCTTGGACGCAATCGGAAGTAGACTTATCCCCCGATAGTTGTTACAGGAACAACGTGAACCCTTTTTAAAGATAGGGACAACTATCGACTCATTCCATGACGTTGGTACACTCTTTAGTTCCCAGATCTTTGTAAACAACGTCGTCAGTCCCTTAGTCAAAAAGTCACCACCATCTTTAAAAAGAGCCGGAGGTAAGTCGTCTGGGCCCGGTGATTTGTAACGTTTCAAGAGTTGGAGTTCCTTGCGGACTTCCGCCTCATTTGGTGGATCAGTCGTCACCGGCCATGGAGGGCAGGACAGTCTGACCGATGTTGCCGGAGCAGCAGGCCAGTTGAACTGCCCTTCAAAGAATTCTGCCCATCGTCCAAGACGTCGATGGATGTTAGTGATTGGCGTTCCGTCATCCTCGCAGATTGTTTCGCTCACACCAAACTTCTTGCTGCCAGTGGCTCGGATGAGTTGGAAGAGCTTCCGGTAATTACCAGATGCAGCTGCTGCTTCCAACTTACTGGCACGCTCCGACCACCAGGCTTCTCGGTCCTTACGCAAGCTTTGCCCGATCTCATTACGTAACATCCTTCGTCTGTGGTCAAACTCACGGTCACCCGGAGTAGACCGACGGGCTTCAATCAGTTGTAAGGAACCAGAAGAAACCCAGTGCTTGTAAGCGGGACGTTTCGCAAACCCACAACAGACTGTACCCGCCATTTTCATGAAGTCATGCAATTGCAACCAATGCTCATCGATACTTTTCGGTGGAATGGTAGCTAGCCTAGAAGCTAGCTCGGTTCGGTACTTACTAGCAACAGAAGTTGCAGCCAGCTTACTAACATCAATCCTTTGGTGGTAGTCACTTCGTTGTCCACTGAAAAGTAAGGTAAGATTGGCGCAGACCAGAGCATGATCAGATTCCAGATAGGTACTCCAAAAGGAGCGGCAGTCTTGTACACAACCACGCCAGCGGTAGCTGATCGCGATGTGATCAATCTGAGTCCAGGCTTGAGATGCAGAAGGGGGACGCCAGGTGGCACATCGGCGATGACTGTGCCGAAAGTTAGTGCTAGCCAGAAACAGGTTGTGGTCTGTGCATAGTTGCAGTAGACGTTCCCCGTTATCTGTCCTGAGACCAACGAGTCCCCATCGGCCACCTAAACGACTCTCTCCTGTGCCTAGACGCCCGACCTGAGCATTCAAGTCTCCAGCTAGTACTACAATATCTGTCGAACGCACTTTCTGGAGAAGAACAGTTAGCTGATGGTAGAACTCGTCCTTGATTGCATCTGGGCTGCAATCTGTCGGGGCATAGGCGGAGATGACGAAAAGACATCGTTTCTCACGCCGATTTTTTTTCCCTTTGATGGAACTTTCTAATCTAACAGCACATAACCGACTGTTAATGGGGATCCAGTCGACTAGTGCTGCCTCAGCTCTTGCGCTTAGTGCGACACCAACGCCAGCAAGACCAGACGAAGATGCCACAGGGTCCCCGGATAAACGCATGTAAAACAAGCTTTTCGAAGCGACAGATGGAGAGCGAACTTGTAGTACTTCACCAGAGTCTTGAATACGGGTCTCGGATAGACAACACACATCAATATTAAGACTTTCCAAAGACATAGCCAGCCCTATCTGTTGTCCGACCTGCATAAGTGTGCGAACGTTGAAGGCAGCCAGTTTGAATGGTGCACGTGGTTTCAGAAAAACTGCTTCAGTACTCATATTCGGTAGTAACATACAATTTTCAACCAGGCAGTGACTCGAGAACGTTTAGATAAAGCTGAATTTTCACCATAGGCGAGCTGCTGTCTGAGTTGAAGCGGATACAAAAAGTAGAAATAGGAGATAGTGAATAAATGACGTAGTAAATAATAAGAATAATAACAATAATAATAATAGTAATAATAATAATAATAATACCAGTCATTTCAATGTTAGTCGGAGAGAAACGAATACTTTCTATAAGCATATAGTTCATCATAGTTTTAGTGAGTGGGCTGGGATACTGCCCGGGTGCCCAGACCGAAGCAGGTGGTTTTCTTAGGGGGCCACACCCCGAGCCTTTGACCTAAAGGTCTAGTCCACAAGGCAGTGGAGCATCGTGAGGAGATGCAGTCCCATGGAAGCCGGTGACCAAAAGTTGGTTCATACGCCATTTGTTCCCGCAGGATACTGGAGCCCATGTGCACCATAGAATTGGGATCCGGTTATAGCGCCGGACGTTCGCTTTTCGTCCTCTCATTTTCGTAAACAACACCCCCGCCACGAGAAGGCAGTGAGTAGGACTTCCCTGGCAGAGGCTGTATACGCGTGGCCGTGTGAGAGTATTTCGAGAGGGAGGGCGAACCCTCCCCGCTCTCGGCCATACCAGGGCATTTGGGGGCACTGTTATATAAGCATGTTTTAATTATCTGCGCTTCGTCGAATGTTACACCTCGATGAACTAGCAATAACTTATTAGACGTAATTGCATCCAGATTATCACAGTCATTAACTAGCTTCATGAGTGGCCGATTGTTCAGTGTTCCTTCAGCCTCTATTAAAAACGTCGTCAAACACTCGCACGTCAATAGCTTATGTAACAGTAATGGTCGCAGAATTCTTCTCATTGATTTTATGATGCGTCCCCATGCACCGCCTCGATGAGTAGCTCTAGGAAGGTTAAAGCACCATTCACAACCTCCTTCCAAAAGGGTATTTGCTATCTGGTCCCAACTACACATAATCTGTCTAAGACTAGCATTGGCTTCTTTAAAGCTACCAGATGCACCCTTACTCTTATTCCCAACTTGTACCGAGGCTCCTTTCTTAACACTATGTACGATACCATAGCGAATATGTGCTGCCTGCTTCTTCGGGTTCTTAGTTACTGGCTTCTTTGTTACTGTGATCTTTGGTCTTTTTCGTCTGGGTGACCTTCTTTTCCTTGGGCTTTCTTAGAGTTGATTTGAGTGTATTAACAGATGGTGCTTCACTTTTCGGCTTAGCAACCTTGGGCTTAGCATCAACAATTCTCTTTTCGGCTACTTGTCTCTGTACACGCTTAGCACTTTCCTAAGTACAGAGTTGGGTATTAATGTGGACATTACTATTACTGTCTCTGCTCTTCCTACTTCTTATGAAGCCAAATAATTAGGTCGCAATCTTCCCAACAGTTCCAACATAAATGTGGGATCTTCTATGTGCATCCATTTATTTCCGATTAACATTTTTGGGTAATTAGTTGAAAGAATTCACATATCGGTTTGCAGAGAATTTTCAAAGGATCAGTGTATGCATTTTGAGCAGTCCTATTTAATTACGTTGTTGACATTCAACCAATTATATTATACGCCTTTGAAAATAACAGTAATATCTGTCACTATGTCAATCTATGAACATATTAGAATGTTGGAATTGAAACCGTAGCATACTCTTTCTGAGTACAATAGTTCGTTCCAAGGACGTATATAGTGTCATTCATTACATAGCCAACAAACGATAACTTTTTCTGGATCGACTTTGACACTAGGATTCTGAAATTTCAGCCTGACAATGCCATTTGCATTTCTGGATGATAGAACCAAAATTACCCGTTTTATTGATGGGTTATCATTTCTCATGTTATGGGATCGCTTGCATTCGTCTATCAGCGTTAATGGTGTTGATCGAAATTTCCATGAAGTCGCTCCAGGAGATATGTTCGAATTCCAACCCTATATAGGAGTTGGAAAGCGTCAGTAAACACAAGTTACTTAAACTGATTGTATTTCAATGAGAGCAAATTAGTGTTTAAACTTGTGGCTGACAATATTTAAGTGTCATAATTATTCAGCTGACTCTCCAGAACGACAGAAAGTTACGTTACCGTTTTTTTTCAAAACTGAGCTCTCGAAATAGTTCCGGTAGAATATGGTCACCACAATATTTTCCTGTCATTCCTGAAGCTTGCGCACCAACAAATACGATTTTTCGGTATCATTCTGAACATGTCTTTTCAAGATTTAAATATGGTATTGTGTTTTCTTTACTACTGTGTTTCCTTTCTATAGTCCTTAATAGCTATACGTCATGATTCAACTGAACGAAAGCCCATAATGGTTTATATATATATATATATATATATATATATATATATATATATATTTCTCCTAGTAGAAATGCGGAACTTGTTGAGTATGTTAAAAGTAGTGTGCACTACTTTGCTAATCCGATTTCATCAGTTTTGGTGGTACTTTCATGCCATGTTCCTTCTGTAAATAACAGTGGTCATACTCAAGTAAACTGAAATTCCGTTTCTCTCATTTATTGTTTACATCCAGAAGATATGTTTTAAACTTTTAAGGAAGGATCATATATGGGAGAAATCAACTTTATATTCAGTATGATGATAAGACTACTGGGAGTTGATTTTGTCAGTAGTATGTGTCAGAAAAATAGCTTCCTCTATACTAATCTGTATTGAATTTATGAACTGGCTTTATTGTAATTTCTCCAAAAATTGGAAAGCCAAATATTATTGCTGCACACTACACTTATGGCACTGATGCTTTTCAAAATATCCTAGTAAATGTGTTAATGTCTATGGGAATTTGCGTTTCTTGACAATTGTAACAAACTAGTATTATTGGTGACCGTTATTTTCATCGTAAGTCTTAGTTTGTTTATGTTACAATTACCTGCAATTTCATGCCATTTCGTACTGTAACACATAGGTTATCTTCAATCCCAACTATAAAACCAAGTAGAGACATTAATAAAAATTACTTAATTCAGTTTTTTAAAAATCAAAAATTGATGGACTCTTAGTTAATTAAATTGCAATTACGTCATCACAAATTTGTAATTATGTTCATCTGGAATCGTAAGTAATCCTCGTCAAACCTGTGTTCTGAAACGATTTCAGGAGAATGCCTTCATATTTGGTTATCTTCGTACAATTGAAGGGTTGAATCTTTCTGGCCCATCATCAGCATATCGAGATGATGAACTACGCGCAATCAGTCGTTACGCACGTTATCGTCGTGTTCCAGGCGATATGTTGTTGTATCACACTGGTGAATGGTGTGATTCTTGGTTTATTTTGATAAGCGGATCAGTATTAATTGAAAGTTCCATGTTCTTGCCTCGATCATAGTGAGTAATTCTGAAAATAATATAACATTTAATTTGGGTTCTTTAATGTTATGTAATTAATTGTTGGTGTCATGGTCTCCCATTGTATTACGTCACTATTCTTATTGCCTTTTGTATGAATTTGGTGATCGACTGAAAAAACCGTACACAGGTCTCATACTAGTTAGTTCATCTGCAATATTGAAGAAACTGATGTACTGCTCGTGGGATTTAAACCCGTTTAGCAATCAGAGCCGTTACCTTTGAGTTCCTTTGTTTGCAGCTGATCTTCGGGACTGAATTGTGTATGCACTTATTGATCATAAAGTTATGACAAATTAATATTAGATAAAGTACACCAAAATTCCTAGTTGCATAGGCTTGTGGTCATCCCGTAATTTGATTGACAGGATTCAGTCAGTACTCAGAACTGAATACTACGATTTGTTACTACTATCAAGTGGTCAGTTAGCATAAACATGAATTCAGTATCATTACTTGTGTTCAGCCACTTGATTACTTATCATCCGCTGATACGAAAACCTCTGATGGCCCTGCCCCAAATATGTTCATGTGTAGCTCATAACATCCAGTGTAAATGCAATCAATTCAAATTAGGCTTTAATTAAATATGTTTCATGTGTACATCATGATTTATGATTTGTAAGACTGTCTTTGAAGCTAATTCCCATTTATCGGAGTCGTTTTCACAATTTGGTCTTGAAATAACATTATCCTAATCAGTATTTATAAAAAATATTTCCGTGTCTACTTGGTGTACTCTCAAGTATTATTGTACTTAATTCTCGATATATTTTCACCGTTTTCTTAAGTGTTATTTACAGAAAAATTGATTAAATCGCTATAATTTCATAATTTAACTTGTCTCTATATGAAATATGTAAAAAATAGCTAATAGATATCACCAGTATTGCTCAATCTAATAGACTTTCTGCAAATCTATGTTGGCTAATTTTAAAGAGGATAGATATGAATGAGATGTAAACTGAACATAAGCTTTGTAAATGATGAAAATCAGAGGTGTGTAGTAAAAAATAAGGGGATTAAGATATGTAGTATATAAAAACCAGATGTTGTTTTGTGCTTATTGAAGAGATTAACCGATGAATATGAAGTCTGTTTTCAATAGGGAGGCAATAATGATAAATTCATAAGACAATGCTGGAACAGTTTTCTGGGCCTCCAAGTTACCCCATGTCTCCCCCAATATTGTCGATACCTTTAGGTGGATTATGACATTAGTGTTCCAACTCTATTCGTAACTAAAAAACTACTGTAAAACCGAATCAGAAAATATTATATAATCTTGACGAGTGTCGTAGTATTTAATGGAGTTTCAATAACTGAAGCATTAGTTAAGATATACATATCGCACAGTTCTCTCCAATGTGATCGGAAATGAACATTTTGACTCGTATAATAATCATTTAATAATTGGTTTAATTATCATGACATCATAAGTCTTGTTTGGGACTCAGAACTCACTAGGTAAAGGCTTTATTTTTGTAATTCTATTCTAAAAAATGGAATCTCTTGTTTTCGCGCCAAAAGCCCCCATTTTCATCTTCATGTCGTATTTCCCACTTGGGAGGACCTTGAATGCTATTGATCCGTCATTTTTTTATATACTATTTTGCAACGTTTCCCAAGGACATTTTTACGCTGTATATATATGCTTGAGTTGTGCTTCTTGTTGTTGTTTGAGCTTCTGGCGGATTGTGGAATACACTTTCCCTCTTCTGAACCTGAACTTCTCTCACTAGTTAACGGGGCTAGAATTCATCTGAATAGTTAGCTTGTGTGGTCGTTGTGTCTTCGTTCCGTTCGCAGATTTAGGTGATCTCATAATTTCTTCAAGCATAACAATTTTCAAGATGTGAAAATTTTGGACGCATAGGTTGTGCCCAGTACGAGGACATCAGGCATATTTCAAGTCTAGTTAAGGTTGTATAGAAATTTACATCGTTTTTATGGCTCATGAGTTATTCAGATTCTCAAAATTATTTGGATATATAGTAATAATCTCATCAAATTCCAAATTATTCTCAGAGGGGTAGTTTTTTGAATTCCTTTCAATAAAATAACCATTCTCCAATGAGATCAGCTTTAAAAACCGTAATTATATATATATATATATATATATATATATATATATATATATATATATATATATATATATATATATATATATAGTTAGCTTTTGGTGTTCTTTATTCACAGTTTTGGAACCCGTACAAATGGAAATTTTTATCGCCGTAATGACTGTCTTGTCCTCGAACCATCTGATCTTGTTGTGGTGAGCTATTATTGTTGTTTTCTTATGTTTTTTTGTCAGCTTATCACCTTGAATTTCATCTGTAGCTCCATTTTAAATGGTGTCTAAATCTAGCTATCAAAATTTAATTAACAATCAATACAGTCAACTTTCAATCAGTCAGTTCATTTCTCGAATTTATTGTTTTTGGTAGAGTTTGTGTAGTTGGATAATTTATGTCAGCGCCCTTACAATCATATGTGGTAATTTGTACGTACGGATTTCTGTCACAGCTAATCTAACCGCTACTCAGTTTGAATACCTGACACAGTAACGCAGCACAAATTACCACTATCCACAACAATCTTTCAACCTGGTCAAATCAAAAGATAATTCAGAACGTTTATTGTAAGTCTTTCCGAAAACATTTCAGTATGAAACTCATGAGTGGTTATAGAAAAACTATTGTCTTTGAGAATTGGCCATTCAGGATGCGATTTACAGGGAATCAAACCCAACTTCAGATATGAGGTTTAAAAATTTCTAAATGGTTGTTTGAAAAATTCTTTTTTACCTAACTCTGATCAATGTTTTGGAAATTACAGCATTTCTCAGTAGTTCTGGATTCATCGTTTATATAAATTTATCATAACTATCCATTTAAGTTTTTATAAGTCAGCATATAAGATATATTTTGTTAACTGGTTGGTGACATATAAGTTCATTTTTATTTCTGGTATGTTGGTTTCTACTTATTTCTAATTTGTCACCTATGGATGTGCTTTTTTAATAATAATAATAATAATAATAATAATAATAATAATAATAATAATAATAATAATAATAATAATAATAATAATAAAACTTCTTCCACATAAATAGATGAACATATTATTACATTTCTCTGTACTTTCATTGATGTAGATTCAACTGAATTGATGTACAGTTAGTGCTCTTTCAACAGGAAAAGAAACTTTTCTGATGGAAAAATGCCTGATATTTGACGACATTCCATTCTAGCGACCTTATTTGTTATTTCTTTGCTTCAAGATATTTATCATTTTCTACTGTATCTGCAGTTCGATTGACTTGTTGTATGATGACTATTTGATTGGTTCATATTTGTTCAATTTATCGACATGTCTCCTAATTGCAAATTGACTTAGGTGGCAAGTGTCTAGAAATACTCTGGCTTTCGTACTGCTATTTCTGCCAGTTTTTTTTGTTCGCAGTTATCTTACTGTCAATCTACTAATCTATTTTTCCTTTGTTGATACAATTTATTGTATCAATAAGTAGCAAAGTATATGTTTCTTCATATTTTATGGATAAATCATCCTTGTTATTTGGTGGGATCAAAGTGTTTATAGGAATAAGTCGTATGTTCTGTCTAAAAATATAATGGCCTAACTACATAATTGCTTTCATCATATACATTCTCATTCAATGTTTTATATTTTTGTTTTACTTAAGATCGATTATTTGGACAATCATAGTTTACCCATATCATTTACTAATACGTACCATCTGGCAGTGGCTCCGTCCAAGCATAGGGTAAGTTTAGTCAAGTTTTGCGCTTTTTCATGGATCATTTACTTGGAATGATACAAATCGTCAAATTTATATAATCTCTCTCGAACCTGTTCACTCACTTTAGTTTTACTATAGTGTTTGAAAGTTCCTAGACAAATTTTGTGTTCGTTCGCTACCAGGTTTTTACAATTTTCTCAGTTTGATGTGTTATGATCGTCTACAACACCAAAACGACATATTTTTTTGGTTGAGATCATGAACCGATTGATATTAGACCAACAATCTCCACAACCCCATACTGGTGATTACCATGTACTCACTATGACTAGCTTCGAGAGCTCATCCTCGAAGTTCTAATGAGAAGCTATGACCAGTCGTGCTAATCCATATCAGGTAAAGATAGTTATCTACCTCAGACAATGGAAGATGGCCCCACAATTTCGTGGATTGGTTGAAGTTAGACATTAACACCACTGGATGCCAGCTCAGCTGTTTAGAGGTTAAGCGTTCGCGTGCAAGACTGAAGGTCATAGGTTCAGATCCTGCAAGTGGGACGGTGGATGCGCGCTGCTGTGGAGTCCCATACTAGGACGAAACGGCCTTCCAGTGCTTCCCGGTTTTCAGTGGTGGTCTAACATCAATCAATTCATGGTCTCAATCAAAAACTCAACAATCCCTACAACCCCATACTGAGAACGATATATCTTAGTGCTTTTAGGAGGTGATTTGGTAATTAATTCTCCCAGCTTTCACCCAATAGACCGTCTTGTCGAACCCCACTCCACTTACTTCAGTTTGGGTAACTCAATAGTATCACTAGTCATATCACTTCTGCTTGACCCACATACGGTGATTAGTCATATGTTGATTACGTTGATTAGCATGGCAATGTCAATAACCTTCGTGATAAATTTTGAAAGATTACATTCATCTCGCTTTTTTATTTCATCTTCTGTTCTTTTTGGATAATTTACATGACCTTTGTCATTTTAGCTACTTGGCCTATCTCGACTTAACTTAGCCACTTGTGTAATATCACCTACTGTTTATAAGCTAAAGCGATGACGACTTCTCTCTGTGATTAATTCTCTTGACAGTTCCAATCTTACTTGTAACTTCATAATTTAAGAATGTATTACCAGCAAAAAGTAATGTTTTTTTCTGAATCACATTAGATTTTACAACGTGCTAATTTTTAGATTGATTCTATCACAGTTGTTATCATTATGAATTTTATGGTTCATTCAAATTTTAAATATTGCGTTATTCAAGTTCCTAGCGTTTTTTATTAATTCCTTCATCAGGTACAGAGATCCGGGTACTTGAACTCAATCCACTCTTAGTTTTAGGGGGCTAGTGATACTACGCGATTAGACGGATCAAAGTGGCTGTAGCACGGTTCTAACGTAAAATCGGGTGACTGAAATTTTAAAGGCTTGATCACTAAGCTACTGCTCCATATATTTGACCGTACGAATTTTTTTACTTTTATGATGCTGTATACTGGTAATTTGTTAGTTAATTGTTAAGCAGTGGTTTGGAGTGTTCACATTTCACACACGAATACTAATTCGACTCTACAAATACGTAATTTTTTTTCAGCCAATTAAGTAATAGTATCGCTAACCGTCATATGAACACATAAAAACACTATCTCAAAGCCGAAAAGTACCACTAACCTGTACTTGGTTAAATGAGTTACATTGCATTTGAAGATTATTTTCACTGATTTTGAATGACTAAACTTTGACATAACTCTGAAGTATTGTTGAAGATGCATATATTATGAATACTTAGTTATTATTTATTGTCCATACAGCATGTATCTATTTTGTAATATTTATTGAGTGTTTCCTACTCGAAATGTACTCAACATTTATTTAATCATTTTAATAACTTTTATTAGCATTCTTTAGATCGTGCACCGGTCTCATTCATTGATGATGATACTTCACGTGAAATTTTATCAAATGATCGTTATTTGGAATCGTCTCATAGTATCAGCTCGTCATTAAAAATCTCATCTTTTCTGAATTCTGACCAAAGTACGCTCCATAGACGTGCTACCAGGAGTGCACAGGCTGATGCTATTAATTCGTTGAAATCATTATATTTAAGTGACACATCGTCTACACACTCTTTTAGTTCTGGAGGCGTTCAAAATGATCCAAGTCATGGACGTTCATCTCATTCGTGCGTTTTACAATCTCCAGAAAAACGCAACAAAAAGATAGGTTATAACTATCCTAAATGGTATAAGACTGGGTCGGACAATAGCCATTGTATGAATTCTGAAGGTGATGATGATAATGATGATGATGATGATGATGATGATGAGGAGGAGGAGGAGGAGGAGGAGGATGAAGATGAAGAGCTTGAATCAAGTAGCCATGAGGTTTGTAGTGTTTTTAATTTCAAAGTGTACTTATCCTGCTTTGTTTCTGGATTTCCTCTAGCATATATTCCAACTACTTGTAATCCGTTTAGTCCATGATGTATATTTCTTTAGATACTTCTTGATCTTAGAGTTCTTTACATGTATGGATTTATTTGTTTATTTAAACACATAAACATTAGTACAAGGAGGCATCAAATAGATATGCGCCACATAAATCATTCTGGAAGTTCAGTTCTACTCTAAAACTACCCTCTATCCCCAGACAGTATGAATGGAACATTGAAGTAGGTCCCCCATGTCTAGCTGAAGTTCAAAAGGCTATAGTTAATCTGAAACGAGGAAGGGCAGCTGGTCCGGATGGATTGGCCCCAGAGGTCTTTAAGGATGGTGGTCTAGTTTTAGCGATTAGGTTGACTAATATTTTAGCTAAAATCTGGGAGTTAGACGTTATCCCATCTAACTGGTCACAATCACTTATCGTCCCAATATTTAAGAAAAGGTCAAAATCATCCTGTGACAACCACAGAGGGATTAGTTTAACTAATATAGTATCTAAAATACTAGCCTCGATAATTATCGGACGTCTAAGTAAGACTCGTGAACTGCAAACACGAGAGAATCAAGCTGGCTTCAGACCTGGTCGTGGATACATAGACCACATACTCACCATTCGTCAGGTTCTAGAACACAGGCGTCCGACAATGGTGGTCTACCTTGACTTAAAAGCAGCGTTTGACTCTGTTGACCGAGAGGTTCTGTGGCAGTGTTTGTCATTGAAGGCTTTTTACTCGAACACTACTAGTCGAGTCAGAGCTTATGGTGAACTGTCATCCGCTTTTGCAACCTCAAGTGGTGTCCGTCAAGGCTGTCCACTTTCTCCATTTTTGTTTAACTTCATCATATATCTACTGATGGAAATAACGCTCTCATCGACTGAATTCTCAGGTATTGATCTGCTACCAGGAGGTCCACTTATCGACTTAGAATACGCAGATGACATAGTCCTTTTTGGTGAAGACGCTGATGAAATGCAGAGTCTTTTGGTAGCACTGAGCAACAATGCTAGGATGTTTGGGATGTGCTTCTCTCCCTCTAAATGCTAGTTTTTGCTTCAGGACTGGTCTTCGTCAACACCTGAACTAAGGATAGGGAGTGAAGTAGTCGAACGCGTCGACAACTTCACTTATCTTGGAAGTCTGATCAGCCCTAATGCGTTGGTGTCTGACGAAATCTCAGTACGGATTCGGAAAGCTCGTTTGGCCTTTGCCAACTTACGTCACCTATGGCGAAGGCGAGATATCCGTCTATCAATTAAGGGACGAGTATACTGCGCGGCAGTTCGTTCCGTTCTACTATACGGCTGTGAAACATGGCCTTTAAGAGTAGAAGATATTCGTAAGTTACTAGTATTTGACCAAGGTGCCTTAGAAATATTGCGGGTATGTGCAGGGATCACCGGGTAAGTAATAGTGAGGTTAGACGCAGGGTATTAGGGAATGATGGTAAATCAGTTGATGAGGTTATGAATCTTCATCGACTGAGATGATTGGGCCACGTGTTACGTATGCCTGGACACCGATTACCACGACGCGCAATGCTCACTGGTGTTAGGGATGATTGGAAGAAAATTAAGGGCGGCCAAACCAAAACGTGGCATCAGTGCTTGAAGTCACTAACTTCTGGTCTGAGCCATGTTGGAAGATTCAGTCTACTTGGTTGGGGTCCGCGTGACTATCGTAACCAATGGTTGGAGACTCTTGGTGACATGACTCAGAATCGATCACAATGGCGTAGGTGTATACACTCTCTGTCTTCCTTAAATTAAGAGATTAAAATCGCTTCATATCTTTCTAGGAACTAATTCTATCTTCCTGTACAATCTCCTTATACACACTCTTTCTTCTATATATTACCACCACTGAATTAACTACTTCTATGAATCCGGTGTTCATCTTGTTGTGCTAATGCGGTATGGCAACTTGGACCGATGCATATACGTGCCTGGTCCTACGTTGCAGCTGACTGACTGACATAAATCATTCGACTTGTGTGAGGGATAGGATACTTCCCGGCTGCCCAAACCGAAGCAGGTGGTTTTCTTAAGGGGCCACACCCGGAGTCTTCGACCTAAAGGTCTGATCCAAAAGGCAGTGGAACAACGTCGGGAGATGCAGTCCCATAGTAGCCGGTGACCAACAATTGGTTCATACGCCATTTGTTCCTTCAGGATACTGGATCCCGTGTGTACCAGCAACCCGGTTAAATCGCCGGATATTCTCTTTTCATCCTCTTAATTTCGTAAACAATACCTCCACCGCGAGAAGGCAGTGAGTGCATTATTTGCTGAAGTCACGTTGGTTGGACAACTAATTTAAATTAGGGAGTACTTATAAAAATCCGAGTATCGATTCGGTGACCCATCATCGACACAATGATTACAACTTCTTAAGGTTTTGAGTTTGATTTCTGCCAGGGTTGTAGGTGCCTTCTGTTCGATAATCTCGTACTAAAACAGAGCATCTGTCCTGTGCTTTTTGGTTTTTTGTAATTATCTCATTGGTGTTGGTCCACGATATATATATATATATATATATATATATATATATATATATATATATATGTTACTCGTCCCGTAGTCGTGTACAACTCGCGAGTGTTAAATAATAGAATCTCAATTTTCGACACAAATTTTTATTCATGTATTACATAATTTCACTTTTGTTTCGAAACTTGATTTCTTATAAAATAGTCTATTCGTGATGCATTTTGGGAATCTATTCTTAAACTTCCATCAGATCGTACACAAGAAGATATCGATTTATTACTGGGAAATGTTGAACAATTACCTGTAAGTATAAGAAAGTAGTACTGTTTTTTTTATTATAATGCATTTTTCACGCTTGCCAAATCATATATCATGTCTATTCTTCATTATCATTTTTGTCTCGTACGACATAATGTAACTATATCCATCTTAAATGATTTACTGTGTATGTATAACAAGAGCACATCAAACTGACTTTACCGAAAAAACTTACACCTGTTTGACCTGTAATTTAGAAGCGATTAATTTGAAGGATGGTTGAAAATAGAGTTTTATTCAACATTCTAGCATATTATCGATGCTCAGTTGTTCATTTGTGATAGGTTTGAAGCTATTACGAGTTCACTCAGTATGCGAACGGAACAAAGGCTTGTGACCGAAGACCAATAAGCCAGATATTCTGATGCGTCCCAACCCCGCTAACTAGAGGAAGAAGTCCAAGCTTGGAATGGGGAAGTATATTCTGCAAACAGCCAGAAACGAGCGATAACAACAAACACAATTCAAAACGTATATATATACAAGAACGCACCAAATACATATGCGCCCACATATCTCATTTGATATGTGTGAGGGCTGTGATACTGCCCGGGTGCCCAAACCGAAGCAGGTGGTTTTCTTAGGGGGCCACACCCCGAGCCTTTGACCTGAAGATCTGATCTACAAGGCAGTGAAGCATCGTGAGGAGATGCAGTCCCATGGTAGCCGGTGACCAACGATTGGTTCCGCAGGATACTGGAGCCCATGTGCACCATTGGTTTGGGATCCAGTTAAAGCGCCGGACATTCGCATTTCGTCCTCTCATTTTCGTAAACAACTCCCCCGCCACGTGAAGGCAGTGAGTAGGACTTCCCTGGCAGAGGCTGTATACGCGTGGCTATATGAGAGCCTTTCGAGAGGGGGAGCGGACTCCCCCCACTCTCGGCCGTACCAGGGCATTTGGGGGCACGTATATATACAGTATAAAACCGTCCTTGGGGAGAGTTACCAAACAGCATACTAAAAAAGACGCAACAGACCAATGGCATTTAAGATTCGCCCAAATGGGAAATGCGACATGAAGATGACAAGAGAGCTTTTGGCGCGAAAACAAAGAAATTCAAATTTTCTAAATAAAATTACAAAATTAGGTCCTTTCCCAGGTGAGTTCTGGAGATCTAACGTCCCCAACACACCTTCCCTTTTTAATGACGTACTTTCCTGGGGTCCACTTGCATCTTGACTGTTGTTCGCGGCTATCGGAGAGGGCAACCTTCTGGAACGGAGATCGGCTTGTTGTTGAACCTCTCGTGGTGGGCTGCTAGATAGGTGATTCCATTAATTGGGCCTGCGAAATCGACATTTATCCTGGACCAGGGATACTCAGGCTATGGCCATGGGACCGGCAGTACTTTCGCGTTACACTTAGCCGCTTGCTGACACTGCGTGCACTTGCCTACTAGATCCATGATGTGTTGGTCCATGAGGGGCCAATAAGCATAGCTTCTGTCGACGGATTTCATTCGTTTTATACCAGGATGAACAGTGTGGAATTGCTTTAGCACTCTTGATCGTAGGGACTCTGGTACCACCACTCTATCTCCAAACATCAAGCATTCATTTACGACACATAATGAGTCCCGACGGTGGTAAAGCTGCTTCATGTCACCATCGAGTCCAGTTGACGGCCAGCCATTGGTGACGTATTTTATCGTTCTCCTAATGATGGAGTCGTTCCTGGAGGCAGATTGTATCTCAGATGCTGAGATGGACAGGGTGAGAACAGCAGTTGTCAGATAACATTGCGCGTGGTCCTCTGTCATTAGGGAGGCAATAACTGCATCTTCGTCGGTCGTGTGGTGTCCGCTGACAAGGCGTCAGCCTGACCAAACTGTTGGCTGCGCCGGTACTGAATGTCATAATCATAACCTAAAAGTATCAAAGCCCATCTCTGGAGACGGTTTGCAGAGTGGGCTGGAACACCAGATTTTGAACCGAAAATTGTGAGAAGAGGCTTGTGGTCAATGAGAAGAGTAAATCTTCAACCGTACAAGAATTTGTGGAAACGGCGTACTGCAAACACAAGGGCGAAAGCCTCTTTCTTTATTTGACTGTACTTTCTTTCCGCTAGAGTTAATGTGCGAGATGCATGCATAATAGCTTTCTCTGTTGCGTCCGAGAACTGGTGTGAGATGACAGCACCGAGTTCAAAAGCTGAAGTATTTGCAGCCAAAATGATTAGCATGGATGAGTCGTAGTGCGTCAATAATAGTTCAAAGCTCATGATTGTTTTCAGCTTGCAAAATGCAGCTTCACATTCTTTTGTCCAGTTCCAACTGGTGTTCTTATTCAGAAGATGATTTAGTGGGGCGCGTATGTCATGCATCGACTGAACGAAAGCTGAGTAGTGGCTAATTAATCCCAGGGATGATCGTAGCTCAGAGATATTAGTGGGAGTCGGCATCAGTTTCATAGCTCGGATGTTTTCAGGATCTGGTCTGCGACCTGCGGCATCAAAGATGAATCCCAAGTATTTAACTGACTTCAAGAAGAGCTTGCATTTTTCTGGGCGTAATCGGAATCCGTTATCGTTGACGCGTTGTAGTACAGCTGTCGTGCGTTCTCGAAGCTGTTCTAACGATGTGGCAACAGTTAGGATGTCATCGAGATAAGTTGCGAACCCTGGGATACCCGATAGAATGGTATCCATTAGTTGCCAATTGTTTATTTAATGATAATTATTGCCAACTTTCAAAGATCCACCAACCTGTTTTCTCACTACTCAACGTCTCAGTCATCATCAGATCATCGGTAGCCTTTTATTTCAACCACTTAATATTGTGCTATTAAGAGTCCTTTAAGTTACGATATACATGTTCTAAGACGTTAAAGGGAATTACTGGATTCTGCCAGCTAAAGTAATGAAAGAATGGGTCGATTGGAATGCTATTTATCGAAAGAATTGAAATTTTTATCTTATTTCTACTGTGTATGGATTATTAGTATTGTATCGTCATGTGTACTACTTATGTCGACATAAGTAGTGTATAACGCTAGGCAGGAATTGATTGTCTGGCAGCAGTAGGTTGAGAAGACCGAGGAAGAAAGAACGGGAACAGAAAGCGATTGGTATAGAAATGCAGGAACAACGAGGTTTGAGACGATTGATTGACACTTTGCAACTGCAGAATTTACTAAGATGTTCTGTAATTTTATGTTCATATGTATTCGATTGTTACCACTTGTCTTCTCAGTCACTACAGTATTCTTAAAGCTTCAACAGTATTGTTGCTATTGCAATGCCTTCGTTCTCTATTGTGCACAGATAAACTTATGATCGAAATATGAAATTTACACCAGTATGCTTGATATTCGGAATCGATACTTGAATAATTTTAACTAAAACGTGGTCAATTTTAGTTGCAAACGTCAGAGGCAAGTAATTGCACAACTTCGTAGTTCAGGCTTATATTGACTAAAGATAAAAACAATTCTCGACACGCGAATTTCGTTAATCCTTACTGTTTCAATATTACTGAAGTCATCTTGAGAGAAGTGTAACGATTTTCATTGTTGTAGATTTCTTTTTGCCTTTTTTATCTATATAATCTTTATTCGTTGAATACGTATTATGTTATCTGTCACTGTTGAGAGTTTACTCTAGTATTTGTGTCCACTAATTTTCGTTTTAACCTTATCTGTACAGTACTCATTGTTCGTCCAAATGAGGAACAAATACAAGCGTTTTCCGCCTTTTCAATAACGAAACGAAAATGCTTGTCGTAAGATTCATTCTAGGGATTGAAGCACTGATAATCGAACTGTAACGTTGCCGATTTTTAGAAAAGCATTTAAGCACACTTCGAAATAAATTACTGTAAAGTGCAAAATAGATCATCTATCCACGGTGAAAATACAACACTGCAATTAATTGTTTGTATTATCTTCAAATATTGATTTCCGCTGCTCCTAAAACTCTAACATGTCCGCGTTAATCATCACAGCTCACATATTATTTCATTGTTGGTGCAGTGGGTTACCACGTTCAATGCGGTGGTATCGTCAGTTATTTGTAACTTCCTTTCCAGTCAGTTATAAGCAACGTAAAAGCCTGCTACGAATGTGCATCTACTCAAATTACTGCACCATGTCAACACAATGAGACGAAATTAGTAAGATAAATCTTAAAGTATCAGTGAAAGCAAAATAATACTATACAGAATATAATGAAAGAAAGAAAGAACTTGTGGATTGAAGAGCATGAATTCTTTTCAAAACCTAGTATCTACTGGTAGATAAAAAATGCATTTGTGACTGATTACGAGCTGTCACCTAATGTCTCCAATCATTGGACATGTTAATCGTTCTGACCTCAACCTGGTAGTCTATACCTACTCAGATGAGTCAGTCCAGTAGTCAATAACTTTACGAATTAATGCCAAATCTTAATTTGACCACCACTAGCCTTCTTCCAATCCACTTTTACACCACCCAACATTGTGCGTTAGATAGGCGGTAGTTGGACATGAATAACATATTTAAGTAACGCTAGTGAATAAAGAGTTGCAGTCCTATCAATCAAATTCTTACCTTGCCTCTAACTTCAGTATTGCTCACTCGGTGGTCCTACCAAAGATGAACAATGCTTTGAAGAGAGCTGTCATCAAATACTAGAAAACTTCGATTGTCATTCAATTTTTAAGGCTTCGTTTCGCAGTCATAACTGATAAAAGATCGAACTGGTGCGCATCCTACTCACGCATTGGTTGATAGATGAATATCTTCCCTACACTATAGGTGATATAAATTGGCAAAAATCAACCGAGCCTTCTGATTCCGTACTGATATTTCGTCATACGTCAACAGAACAAGTCTGATGAAGTCGAGAAGTGCCCAACGAAGGACCTGACTATTCTGATGGGAGACCTTAATGTCAAGGTTGGAATTGACAACACCTGATATGAAGAGATCATGGGACGACACGGACTCGGAGAAAGGAACGAAAATGGTGAGAGATTTGCAAATCTATGTGCCTTCAATAAACT